TTATTCTGAATACCTTTCAGATGATGTTTCAATTGAATTAACTAGTTTTTTTAATGTTTCTAGATTAATTTTAATCAATTCCTCTAAGGCACTACTTTTTTGATAATTTTGGTCAAAACTTTTAATTTTTGGGATGGCTAGTCCAATATTTGCTAAAAATTTTAAATAATGATTATGTCTGGGTGACATTGATGTTGTTTTTTTGTCATTAGGACCGTTTTGTGTGAGCTAAAGCTTCCGAAAGTCCGATAAGTAGTAGAGACCGCTGTACTAATAGTTTTGCAAACTATCCCGTGTGACCACGTTTTCTACATTTTGAAAGAAGTTAACATTTTATATTGAAGGGAACATATTGGTTTCCAAGATCCTGCCAAAAAAATTTGGTTTCCTACTCTACAGGAAGCCATTTAGGCCCAAATAAGACACGATCGCCGCCTTGCTTCAGAGTAGCTTGCAAGTGTTTGGTTTCTAGCTCAATATTGGGTCTCCGCCAATAATTTATACTGTCATCAGGATTAAATTAGTTAAACTTTTACTTATTGGTAAAGATAAAAACATTCCAAAAGAAAATCGGACGAATTATAAGCTCCTATGAAAAGTTTTGATGTTGCTCCTGTGCTGGTTTCCTTATAAATGGCTCTTTTCATACTACTAGAGCCTTATAGATGTATTTTTGCAACAAGAGGCGTATTAAATCGGCACTACACTTGTTTCTTATTTCGTGCTCTATCTATATAACAAATTTGGCAGACGTTTGTTAATGATTTCACTTTTTTTTGGTCCATGTAATGAACTTAATGTTCACTGAAAAATGTATTCGGTGCATTTCGGCCCTTATGTTTGGCCCAATCTTCACGGACAAACGATTAATTTATGTTTTTATATATGTGCGATTTAAGAATAACATTTTCGTAGTACCACGGTGATTTTTTTTCTGTCTTAAATTGAAAGAGAACTAATTATCGTATTTTAATAGAAATTCGCGATCCTATTTTACTTATTTCCCCATAACTTCATATTTTAGTGTGATCAGGCCAAGAAACTTTTAAAATATACATAAGCTACCAATACCAAAGCCAAAATAAAAAAAAAAATTAAAAATTAAGCCAAAAATTCATTGTTTCTTACATTTTAACTAGCTGCACGAAATAAGCTGCGGCGTGAAAAAAGGTCATAAATTTGTTTTTTTAATATTATTGTTTGTTCTTATTAATTGGGAAGATATTTTTTTTTAATTTAAAATGTAGGGTATCTGATTCAAAACACTGCATTTAAATTGTTTCGATATCTCTTATGGTAGAGCAGCAGTGATGATTTATACTTTAGTTTCTTGACTGCACGAAATAAGCTGCGATCCACTGTATATAGACACACTGCCGCCCGTCTGTGGGTGTGCCTGTTGAGTGTGGGGGGATGCGTGAGGGGGCATGGCTTCACTTTTCCAACTTCTGTTTGGTACAAGGAAAAACTTTTAAACATTTTCGACACCCAATTTTTGCGCTTTTATCGTGCCAAGTGCTCGGCGACAGTTCGTTCTCCGTTGGAAGCGAATTTAATTCAGAAATGTCGCCTCGCTCCACCTTCAAGCCATTTCTGTTTAATTGCTTAAAAGCAATGCCAGTGTGCAAATGCAATTCACTTCGATTGCATTATCAATTTAATTTAATGGCCATCGAAATCAAGCTCCAGCCGCCGGTGATTGTCCTGCGGTGTCCTGCAGGCATAATGAAATGCATTTCCTCGACACACATAACAACACAGCTGTCAGACTTGAGTTATCGGGAATCGCATCTGTCTGTTATAAAATTCTCAATTATGATTGAAATAATGTCAGGATCATGCCGGGGATTAAGACTCTCAGTTCGTGGGGCTTATGGAATCGCAGATGCCGAGAGGCTTACGCCAAGTGCTTTTAGCCTTCGTTTCGAGTGAATCCCCAACATAAACAGCCAGCTGATGCGGGACAGAAAGGCAGATTATTCAACAATACCACCGAGCAGAGCGTCTGTCAAAGAGCTGCAGACTCGAGTGTCAGATGTGTCTTAGCATTTTAAATATTTACATCTGGCATATGGCATTTGCAAGTGTAATTCCCTCCCGGGGCTGCCCTGAGATTAGGCCCAGAATGCGGTGGCTGTCGGGGAGCTGGCCACTTGCCCAGGGCCAGCTCAGGCTCAGGCGCAGGGCCGGTCCTCAGAATTTATAATTGTAATTTAATTTGCATAAACTTAGGTCGCCTTGCCTTGGGATCGCGCCCAGCGAGCACATGTCCAATTAAATGAATCACTTTTATGGCCCCGCCAAGGTTGCCCCAGCTGAAATTTTGAAACAATATGCTTTAATATTTATGGGCCAAGTTTTGTGATAGGTTTTGTTTTCGTTTGGGCCAAGAAAGGATTCGCCTAAGCTGCAGTCATAATCGAAACAATGGAAGTTACAACATTAAATCCGACGGAAGGCCGTTGACGGTTTTATTACATTTTCCAAACAATTGCCCAAGATTTATTTGGGACAAGCCCTGACATTTTACAAAAGCCCATTTCGCGCAGTGTTTGGCCAGAAAGTGTTATTTTAATTAATTAATGCATTCATTCGACTGCCCATTTACACGTGTCCAAAACCAAACGCGGCCATTTATTTACCTCGGTTAGAATGGCCTGCCGCAGCTTTTAATTAAATGCCTATAAATCTATAAATACTATCAATAGTTAAGTATTTGCCTTGTAGATAAATGTTTTCAAATTCGCTTTCCGCTTATTAGGATTTCGCTTAATTTGCACATTTGCGGCGATACAAGATAATTGCTTTGGCAAACATTATATTCATATCGGAGCGGCAGCATCTGTCAGCCGGGCTTAATATTTAGCCATGGCGACATAAATATTTTCAGCACATTTGCACGCTCAGAGGGATCCAATTTGCATGCACATAAATATAAATACTCGGCCTGCAGGATGGGTCAATTGGCGCTGCTCACATGGCCAGAAGTGAATCGATTGCGCTCCGTGGGGACTTGTCCATGATTTATGTTGGCCTTTCTGTTCGATGCCAACTGTTGCACGGGCTCCGAGCTGCGAGGCAGCCTGCTCCAGGACGAGCCATTGTTATTTTATGTTAATGCATGACATTGTTAAGCATCTCGAAAACGTACAAAAGAAATTAGCAAATGTGAAAAATAAAAAGAGGAGCGCCGTGGCGTGGCGGGGCAATGAACGAATTCAACGGCAACTGTTGACAGTTATCCTGACACAAACACGCATTGTAATGTCTAACAAGCTTCACAGTAGCAGCAATGGCAGCGGCAGCGGCAGCACCAAGCATCGCTTGTCACTCAACGGCCTCAGAGTCCTGCTGACAGCCTGTATCCTGTGTGTGTATGTGTGTGGGTGTCTGTGTCATTTACATATTTACACTTTATGCACGGTGCTTAAGACTGAACTTTAACAAGCGGGCCCCTGGTCCTGACCCAAGAATTCCTCGTAGGGATAAAGGAAAGTTTAGACATATCCGTTGTCCATAAGTTTTCACGTCAAAAAGGATCAATAGATCAATAGTAAAGGACATTTTATGCCCGATTTGCTAGGCAACGAACAACTTTTAATGGAGTATTCTGCAATTTGATTTTGTACCTTTATATTCAGGTAGTTTGAAACAGCAACTACATATATAAAAATACAGCCACTTTGTACATGTACTTTACAGTTTTGTTTTTTTTTAACTAAATTTAGTCGTTACTAGAGTTAAATATTATATTATATTTTAGTTATATTCTTTCATAGGCCATATTGATTTTAGGTATAAGTTTGCAACGCACTGAAGAAGTAATATAAAGCTTGTATGTATATTGTTGATCAGGATAAGCAGCCGATTATATCTATATAAATCCTTAAGTCTGTTACTAGTTTCTTAGTTTTTGAACTACATAACTGAATAAAACTTTTCAGATAGTTTGCCTTCTATCACAGGTATTATAATACATATATAATTATATAGTCAAAGAACAAGATCAGACCACCATATATATTACGTCTGTCATAGAAGTTATTAAATTAAATTTAAATTTTGTGAAAATTTTGGTTAAAAGCTTACAGCTATGTTGTTTTCCATTAACTCCGAGGTATGACAATATTATATGATTTCTAAATTACGCAATTTTTCCATAATATTCTTAAGATGATCAAATCAAAATAGAAACCGAAAAGTGTTCCTTAAAATAATTATTGATTTTGATTTTAACTCTAATAGCGAAGTCCTAGTCATAGTTAACATTCTTGTTAGATTAACTTATCCAACTGGATATCTGTTTAGTGCACAAGTTTCTGATAAGAAAGGATGCGTTTCTCCACAATAAAGTGCGGCGAAAGCGGAATCGAAATCGAAAATCTGCGCTCAAGCACCGGCACCTGATATTGTTTTGCATTACGCCAAAGGGATGATTAAATGCGGTCAGGCCAACGCGACTCAAAGTGGGAAGAGTGGAAAATGGCAAACTGGCGGCGGGGCAAATGCAATTTCCAGCAAAAAGGCCGGAATAACGGCACATAACTGATTCACTTTAATGCAATTTGCATGAATCCCCTGCCCGGCATCCTTTTAACAGGGAGCTAACAGGACTCTGTTAACGAACGCTCTACAGAACGCGAGCTGTGTTTAGTGCGCACAGCCCCCCATTCATAACGGCGAAGAGAGCGCTCTCCGGCAAGAGAGAAAGAGCGCAAGAGAGCCGAGATTGAGTTGTAGGCAATAAATACAAAGGACTCAGCATCCGCAGCAACAGTGGGCGTCGAGGATTCAGTTATCGCGTAGCCGCCGTGTGTGACGGACAGATGCCGATGTCTGAGGCCGAAGCGAGCGAAGTTCCACATAGTTTCTCGGGCGCCAAGTGCATTCAATTAACATAAAATGTAATTAGAGACACTCAATCTTGCGCGCTCTCTCTCTCGATATATATATATATATCGTGTGCCTTTCTGGCCGCATTAATTAAATGCAAACAAACGGAAAGTGAGCAGTGCGACAAAACTAAAAGTCATTAAAGAGCCAGCGAATAATTCAGGGAATTCCCCATTAAACGAGTGGCGGCAAGTGCAGGTGGAATCCAATCGAGTTGGCCGGATATTGTCGCAAATTAAAAGTAAATTAAATATTGCCCAGCTTTATTGGAACTTATGGTGACCAGGCCAGCTTTGTTTCATCTATCAATGTGGGCCCTGCCGCTGGCACGGCGCTAATTTCCCACACTTCAAACGTGGCCGGTCCGGGACTGGCATGGATTTCCGTCTCCTGCGGAAGTCCTCCCCATCTCTACCGTGCTTTGTGCTTTGTTGGGGGGACCAGCTTACGTCCTGATTTCTCTCTACTCTCCACCTGCCTCGAACCTGCTGCTCGACTGCTGTTTGTTGTTGTTTGGCTAGCTAAGCCCGGCTTGGCGCCCCCCTGGCCATAAATTAAGTGAATTGACAGTGCATTTACCCGGGCCATTCAGCCAGCACTCGTAGTGGGCCGCCCAGGCTCCTTTATGATTAGTTAATGGGATTCAATTTCATTTCGCATTGCCTGCCGCAGAACGTAGCAATCGTGGCAATCGTGGCAATCGCAGCTGCCGCAGCTTCCCTCGCTGATTACATAAGGCACGTTTTCCGGGGGAAACACTTGTTGGCTTGTCCTTTCGCCTTCCCCAGGCACGTAGCCGGAGCCGAGAAAGGAGTTGTTGCGCGGGGGAAAACGAATCACGGCGGTGCCATTAGGAACTTGGCAAAATAAATTCAATATAAGCGGGGGCCTAATGGCAGTAGTTGGGTTTCCATTTACATTTACTTTCCACGTCCTCTGTTCAGCCTTCATAAATTGGCGTGGCTGCGAAAATCGCTGCCTACTCGAGGTGGCGCCCCATTTAGAGGCGCATTGTGAATGCAGCCTTTCACCGAGAAGTGGCGACATGAAAAAGTACAAGTGTGCATTCTAAGAATAACAAACAACTCGAGTGAGATAAAACCAGCAGCTGCGGTACGGGTATAAAGTGCTAACGTAAACACAGCCGGGGAAGGAGCGTAAACAAACATCGGAGCAGCCCGAAAGAGCGGTGAAGGTTGTCCCGCCGAGTCCCTGCGGCTCTGTGTGAGTGTGTGTGTGTGTGAGTGATCCAAGTTCTAAAATCCAAAAGGAGCCAAGAGCGAAAAAGCAAAGAAATGTGCAAGTAATGTGCAGCCAGGAAAGTGCAATGCCATCCATAAAATCCGCCGAAAGTGAGACTCTGCCCGGGATTATTAGGAGCGACAGCATGACAAACGGCAGCTCCTTGAGGTCCTGTCTGCTGGTGGCCACCGTTTTGGGATTACTCTGCGGGAGCGAGGGTGAGTCTGCAGTCCAAGGAGTCCCTCCATCACGGGCTCAAGCCACTGCCCGGAATAAGGAGAGCGAATTCATTTTACAGCCTTATTAAATCTGTATTACATAAATTACGCAGGGCACATTGCTCTGAATTTTTATGAGCGTTTTACGCTTTCACATTTCGCATTTTCCATTTTCCGTTTGCCAGTCGCCTTTCCCAGCTCGCCGCTTTTATGTCATAATGAGTGCAGCCTTTTGATTTAATGACAACTGTTTGCCATAAAACAACATACGTATGCACACACAACGCTGGCTTTTATGTGGCCTGTGATTTATTTCACTTCTTATTTTTATGATATTTTATCAAATATGCATAATAAAATGCCAGCGACGCCAGCTACCGTTTATGGCCCTCGAAATTTTGAGAGAATTTCACATGTGAGGTGGCAACAGCTTGCAGATCAGATCCTTTGTTTGTGTGTACCAGGGTGGACCTTGGTTTTGTGCAAAACATTAACATTATTTTACCTCTTAACACAACAGATTTATTTGATATTGACTGTCGAGGTCCTACCCTTGAGTACTAACCAGCCCCTGCTTACTTTTGCGCATGTAAAGAGTCGAGTCAGCACGGGCTTATTTTGCATTTGTTCTTGCCTCCACGCAGCCTTGCCTTTTGAGTATATAGACGAGCACGACGACTTCGCCTACGACCTGGACACCGCGCAGTCCCAGGCCAAGTACGACGCCCGCCTGCTCTCGCAGCAGATGCTCAGCGAGGCGGAGCTGCAGCGCCAGCGGGCGGACGAGGAGCAGGATAACGGCTTGGAGTCCGGCTCGCCACGAGCTCAGGGGATTGGCGTGGCTTCTGCCGCGGATGGCGCGGACGGAAGCCCCACGGAGGAGGACTTGGAGCCGCACAGCCGGGCAGCAGCTTGCTTCACCAACGGACACAAGTACACACACGGCCAGAAGGTACACTCAAAGAATAAAAAGCTGAAGCCTTAGTAGTAAGCCCGGATCATAAATACTTCACTTAAGTGGGAGCTATATTGTTGAGAAAGTGTGTAATGCTGGTTTGTAAAGTTGCAGGTGACAGGGACAAGGGCACGCTTATGGCATGCTTTGGCTAAATCTTTATATATTTAATACCTATTTCATTATTTCAATACGGTTAACACATAATTATCCAACAAAATCAATCCAATAAAAAATATGTCCTACTGAGGCTAGAACTCTGTACCTCGCTGAAGGCACTTTTAGACAATCAGATATGCAAATTTCTATAGGAAACGAGTCTCTAATAACCAAATTGTTGAATAGGAAAAACTGGGAAAAGTGGAAACAAAGTTTTAATTTATTTTAAATGAGAGTTTGATTCTTTTTTTATCTCTTGGTAGGTTACAATTAAAATTATATTCCCTTTCGTTTAAAAGGATTTGTTTTTTCTTTTTTGAACCGAAAAACTCATGTTGGAAACTATTAATTTTATTAAAACTAAAAAAAAAACTTTTGAAATTTCATTTTTATGTAAATGTATTCTTTATAATATGGCTGAGTTAACACAGGTTACGTTTAATAATTAAGATATTTTAATTTTTAAATATTTACGCAATTTTATTACTACTAAAACAAATAATAATTTAGGAACAACATAACCATTTGTATGCAAATACATTTATTATTTAAAACTACGTTTAATAATGAGGGCATATTCATTAATTATAACTAATAAATAATTTTCAAATTTACACAAGCTAATTGCCGAGTTTATAAAAATCTGTTAAGAAAATCAATTTCAATTGGAGCATCATAAATACTTAATCATGTCAACATATGCCAGTAAAAACCACAGTACTCTCCATATAATGCCTTTATTTTAAAGCCATTTGTAATTTTGTGTTGGTTAATTTAGTTAACTTCTTGCTTATTTTATTAGTTTGGTCTAAGAGTCTTAAACGAAGCCAGTTCTTAATTTTTCTGCAAACAGAATTCTGGTTTTCTTCGGATTTTAAACTTAAGTAACCTGTTTAACAATGTTCTGACTTTGTTTACTACATTGAAACAGTAGTTTTACTCCCAAAGTCCGGTTTACTTTCATTGCTTGTCTAGAGCATAACTAAATCTTTGCCCAAAGTAGTGCACAACAAGCTAATGCCCCAAGTATTTTACCCTTATGAAATAATATCGATGTGCACAATTATCAGACTATGGCTTGGGGTCAAAGGCAGTTGGAACTGTTTTAATAAGTGGTTTACAATTACGTTTCAGTGAAATTGCCTCCCCATTAATGCACAATTTGCACGAAAACAGAGAACCTAATTCAGATGAGCTCTCTCCCTGTTAGAAACAGATCACTGCTTAAAATCGTAAACTCGTTGCACTTGAACAAAGCTCTTGCCTGATTTCAATTAGTGCCTCGTTTGGGCCCAAGTTATAGTATCAGAGTCAGTGTGTGTGTTGGTATCGGCATCCTGCAACTGTCGGTGTCTGCCATCAGTGGCTGTTTCCTGTTCCATGGGCCGACATGTGGCCTTCCCTTACTCATTCATGACAGCACAAAGCCCTCAAATCGCTTTGCATTGTGATTGATTGTTCGGTTGCGGGCACATACATAAGTACATATGTAGTATGTCGGTGTGGGGACCGCAAAGCATCTGAGAGAAACATTCAAATTATACGCTTATATGCCTTATCTTCCGTCCGGGAACAGGTGCCCCGACTGGATGCCTGCGAGGTGTGCCTCTGCATGGACGGCGAGATCTTCTGCTGGTGGGAAAAATGCGGTTAGTTCTCACTCGGTTCTCGGGCCGTTGTGCGGCATGCATAATATAACAAGAAACTTTTGCCTTTTTCCCCGCAGATAAGGCCAATGTAAACAAGGCGAAGGCAGTGGCGTCAGGAAGTGGTGTTGGCCAGGACGAAGTCGTCGCTGGCAATGGCGATGGTAATGTCGGTGGCGAGGGTGAGGGTGACTATTCAGATCCATATCGCTACGAAAGCACAACGGGAAAGTCAACAAAAGTGCATAAAGCGGCTAGGAAAGTTGGCAAGCGGCATAAGCATCGCAAGAATCAAAAGAATTTTAATGACTACGAAGTTTACCACAGCCACAGGCAGAAGCAGCCGGATTATAAAAAGTCTGCCGTAAAGCAACAGCTCCAGCAGAAGCAGAAGCACCAGAGTGACGGCGGTGGTAACTACAATATAATCAAGCAACACAAACACGAGCAACAGCACAAGTTGCCGGCGCAGCAGGAGCAGGGGAGTGCCGCCGCCTTGGCTGTTAATCAGGCGGCAAAGGCAACGCATTATCAGCCACCAGCTACGTCCCCGCCCCCGCATCAGCACGAGCATGAGCATCAGCAGCAACACCATCCCCACCAGGCCCAGCATTCGTCCAGCAAAATCCTGAATTTCCCCGAAAACTTGCCATCCCTGCTTTACTACGACTACAAGACCGAGGAGCACGAGCATCACCAGCACCAACATCACCAGCAGCACTTGCTCCACGAGAAGCAGCGACTCTTGCAGCAGCAACAAGAGGCGTTGGCGCGACAAAAGGCGCCAGTGGTAGCTGAAGTCGGACCAGGGCCCGCAGCAGAGTCAGGCACCAACTTGGGCACCGATAAAAACCCTGATGAGGCGGAAACAGACAGCGATATTCTGCCGGAGCCGCCAACAAAGCGGCCAAAGGCAGCTCCCACACAATGGTCGGCGCAGGCGTTGATGACAACCCGGGCAGAAGCAGCAGGCGGACCAGCGGCAGCCACGTCTGCGACAACGACAACTACAGCAGCAGCAGCAGCAGCAGCACAAACACCATCAGCAACAACAGCGACAACGAAGGCAGCGACAAGAACAAATGAAATGGTGACAAGCACGTTGTCTAGTGCCACAGTAGCAGCCACAAATGTGAGTTGATCTGCTTGAGATATGGCTTCGGGACTTGGGTCCTTGCAGCGGGCACCATACCCAGAAGTTTGCTGTGTATGTTTTAGTAAATGATAAGTAAACTATACCACCATAGTCATAACTTTTCAATTCAATTCAATAGATTGAAGGCTGGGAATTCAGTAAGTTACAGACATTCAGACACATTTCTAAGTCGCATTAAATATGTTTCTAAAATATATATATTTTTCTTGTTTCCTTCCTAAAACTACTCCTTTATCTACTTGTTATTACTTAAGCGACGATATATTAATTCAAAAAGTTGCACTTGTCATGTTTCTTTAAGGGAAAAGTATTCCTAAATCCTATTCCATAACCAAGCCCATTGTACTCTCTGTACTTTTTTGCGCTCTTTGCGAGCCTGGAAGCTCACCCAATTAGGCTTTTGGCCACTTCATTGGCCGCCACAGGCTTGAACTTTGCCCTGCTGCTGGTGTGTCCAGTGAGCCTGAAACGCTCCCCATAATGGGGTCCTTCATGCTCGAGATGGTTTATTATTTATTTTTTCACTATGCAGTCAAGTTGAATTAACAGTCTGTGTTTTATTTTCCGCTGTGGCCCGGCTAGCTGCAACATGATCGCCGTGGACATGACGCGGAGGAGGTCGACGACGCGTTCCACCGATGGCTGACGTCCACAGAGCTGAACGCTGACAACACAAACTCGCCCGACGACAACTCGGAGCAGGAAACGCCAGCGTCGACAATAATCGATGATGTTGGCACGGCCAACAGGAGCGAGGAGAGGGGCGGCCTGGCCAAAGACAATGGCGGCGATGCCGTCTTCTTTCGCAGCTCGTACAACGATTACAGCAGCGAATTCAATGGGAGCGTTGTCAATATTGACATTACACTAACTGCAGTTGATGTGCATCCCCATCGCCAAACGGATTTAATTGCAAATGGCAACAGAACGTCAGGCGTTAACGACAATGGCAGCAGCATCAGCAGCAGCAGCAGCAATGGAACAGCAGGGACAACAATGGACCCAGAGGCAGCCAGCAGCAGGAGCGGCAGTGTCGACAATCAGGATCAGCCCGGGCAAAGCACTGCTGTTCCGCCGTTCACCCTGACAACGATTATAACAACAACGCCGCCGGCACCAGGGCGTATGTGCAATGTTTTGGGTAAGCAAGCAAGCAAGACACCGAGGGTCGAGATGGATTATTGCTGCACAGAGATTTGCAACATGTCGAGTTTTAAGCTGAACTATAATCATATAAGCATAGTTTTTTATTTTTTTTAATTTTCTCACAGTAAAATGTATTATTTATTTAGAAATTATTAGTTTTGTTTTTAATTTTATCAAAGTTAACATATTAATAGTTAAGTTTTTGATATTTGGGGGTGCTGCAGAAATACCTTGTCTAAAAAAAACCTAAAAAGAGTTTAAAAGTTAGCTACAAAATTAACACTGAATAAGATACTTTAAAAATTGCATAGTATACTTTCAGGCACCCTTTAAAGGGTTTTTAAACCTTAGATTATTTTAATTTCATTAAACTTATATCCTTTTTTAAATATTACAACTTTATTCGCACATAAATTACACTTTAAAGCCCCCGGGGAACTGTGTTTTTCTCTGTGTAATGAAATCACAATGCTTCTACATTCGCAGCACCTTCATTTCTCATCCATTTTATTGCTCCTCCGTCACAATTGCTCACTTCCTAATCCCATTTAAACTGCAAATCGAACTCGGTTCCGTTGCTCTCTCGTTGCAGGCAAACTGTATAAAATTGGCGACATTCTGCCACAGGATACGGGCAACTGTCTGCAATGCATTTGCACGGATGCCGTGACACCCGACGAGATGCCGAGTGTCACCTGCAGTCCGCACAATTGCCCGCCGCTGGTGCTGCCGGATCTGTTCGACGCGACTGGCTACTGAGGTTACGGGTTGGTGCTGTAAGTTGCCCAGGACCCAGGACGCAGGAGCCAGGACCCAGGACCCTAACCAGGACCCTGCGGGTGCTTGGGCGGCAGGTGTTGGAATTTTTAAATGGATCGAATCGTGATTTAAGCCCGCAACCGAAACCACAACTACAGCCAGCCGCAGGATACGGGGCAGGAAAGCAGTCACTCACTCGCACAGTCCTCACTCCCATATTGCGTGTCAAGGTCTCAACTAACTCAGCATAATCGTATGGATTTCAGTGTAAAGCCCTCCCTATCACGAGTGCCGCGAGCACTCTCTAAAACGAATACCTATCAGCAAGCATATACTATACTCGTATTGGACTATATATACACATATATTGATCAGATCAGACCAGACCAGAGCGGGGAGCAGGGCGGCGGAAGGGGCGCAGTCTAGGTTTTAATGCATTTTATAAGAACGCGAGGTCATCTCTCTCCCCGATCGAGTACCGACAAGAAACAATTGAATGTATACAGCAGTAGAAATTTTAAAGAATTTATAGATGTACCACAACAGAAACATATATATATATACATACATGCATATATCTACCGATGTCTATACCTATTTGTGTATTGAATTCAGTTCAGGAACCGTTCACAAATTATTTCCCGACTGAGACAAAGGCAGGCTTTCAATATATCCAACAAAGGGAGAAATCGAAGCGGAAAAAAAACACTTATACAAGAATAGGCGACTAAATCTATAGCGAAAAAAACTGAAAAAACTGAACAATGACAAATAATGAACAAACGTGTGTAATATTTTAATTTGTATATTAAAAGCAAACAACTTATTCCTGATTTGCATGCAAATACCATTATTGTTTCGCGCTTCTTTTAGACATTTAAAAATACATACGTAATCTACGGAAGCGATACCAGGACATTATGCGATGTATATGGAAGTTGTTTTAACAAAGCTGAACTTGGCAAAGAAAGACACCATATCGAGTAGTAATAACATTTTAAGCGTAAACCCTAATTATACCTAAATATATATACTTAGAAACTGTCGTATATAGATTCAGTGAATTTCAAATTTACAGCGATTCCCCCTGAAATTGTATTCCCTTGGTTTCTAGTGGCAAAGACAGCATTTATTTCAAAGCAAGTTTAGGCGTGATAAACATTAATTCATTCGGAAAGGGTTAAGTTAAGTCAAAAAGTATATACTTCAAAAGTAGAAAACAATTCTGATTGTAAGGAAAATCAAAGAGAAATTCGAACCAGTTTCCATTAACTGCAGACGGGGTTGAATAGAACTATATAGACATATGGAAATTGGAAATCAAAATGCAAAATATACGTACACACACATATATAGTATATATATACCGGAAGAACACAAAGCATACAATATAAATATTTAATATTGATGTTCCACAAGAGCAAACAGAGGAGCAGCAAATAAATAAAAAATAATAAAAGAATACATGAAAGAAATAGAACAATTTCATCTTGGTCGAGGCGTATTAAAAATGTATACAAAAGTCTATAATATGCGTATATATGTATGTGTAAAATAAATGTAACTACAACTCTCAACTAATCCCACACTCACACGCAGAGCCACTAGCATCGCTGTGTGTTTAAATGGAATTTGTGTTTTGAATCAAATTGAAATCAAATTGACATGAATAAACCGAAACACAACTAAAGCATTACCAATATGCTAACATGGCTGTTGTCTGATTCTGATTCTGTGGTCACTGGGCTATTAAGCAAAGGTAAGTTCGCCTGTTAATTTCTCTCAGCTCTATTGTCCATTAAATTGAGCCTTTCAATAGACTTAATCTTGCACATATGTGAAGTTTTCAATGGATTTGCTGTTGACCCCTCACCTGACTTTGAGCCTTCTTAAGGATATGAAAATTAGTGCAAGTTTACACGAGGAAGGACTCTTGAAATGCCAGACCCATATTTTTGTGAACCATGATATTTTCGAAGGTATACAAGGGAATTACAAGTTAGTGTAGCACGCAGAAAGGGCAATCTCCTACCCCAAAAAGTATACATCTCTTTTAGGCGAGCTAATCTAGTTATATCCGGTTCAGAGACTATATGAAATAGATCTATAAATCATCATCATGCTACTTAATCTCGATTTTTCAAACGATTAAAATATTTTTTATAGCTCTTTATATAAAAAAAGCTTGGTTAGACATAAATTTTTTTATTAAAATATATTGATTCGCCAAGTCATCAACGTAAGGAATTCACTACGATTTGTAAAATATGATTGCTAAGTTTCAGCCAAAAATGTTTTCTAAATGATTGAAGGAGCCTTCTCCAATACCTTTGGTTTCAGTTCAAGGGTCCTGTGGCTAACAAAAACTTTAAATCGAGGTTATTATTTAACAAATATTGTATGTACAGCTTTTGGTCTTTACCTGTTGCCACAAGAAGTAGGCTTCCGCCTCAGACACCAAACTCCCTGACTGCTTGGCTTTCCATGTAGGGACTCTCCAGCACCTAGACGAAAAAAACACAAGGAACTTAACTACAAACTAATCTTTATAGGTTACTTTGTATTTGCTTACCTTCGCGACGGTAAACTGCCTCTTGATAAGGCAGCAAATTCATGAACGCTACCCTGGACCTGTTCTCCTGGAGAAGCTTTAGCTAGAGCAGTGTGAAAAACTCACTCTTACTTTCCATTGCTCCTTAAAACTGTCCTTTAATTTTCGTCAATTTGCTCAAAAATATTTTCCTTTTGTAAAGTAATATCCACGACGAATTTGTATAATAATTTAGTTATTAACACTGCTGGGAATTTACTTAGTCGCCCTCGCTGCCTGACTCGAAGCCAGAGTCTTCGGCCAACTGGGCCAAGATCAACGCAAGCCTTGACGCATCAGGTACACCGTCCTCATCTGAAGCATAACCGATACTAGTACGGGAGTCAGATGCTTGTGCTACGACACGAACAGAACGATGATGGTTATGCACGCGCCGGCGGAAATGGACAGTCCGCTGTCTGTCACCCCCTCCGTCCATGGCAGGCTGGTTTGGTTGGAAACGTCTTTCGCCCCAGTGAAGACGCTAAAGTTGAAGACTTCAGAATCGATGACGTCCTGCTTTGTGCGTTTTGGAATTTAGAGTTTGTAGGAATCGGGAGCTGCTTTCAAAATGGTTTCGATAATCCCTTAACCGATGTGAACTGAAGTGACAGGCCGCACAAAGCAATACGAATGCGGAAATTGCCAGCGGCAGATTGGCTGTTTAATATTGTTAAATAAAGCGCATCGCGATGGCCGAATCCGGCCGTTCATATTGTGGCTTTATTAGGTTTTCCAGGGGTGATTGTCCCCCTGCGCCTCTGTGTGTGTGTGCAGCGCAATCATCGCAGTGACAGCCGACCGCAGGCTACTTTCCAGCTGTGCATGTGTAACCGGAGGCGGAAGTCGCGTCCCCTTCCGGCAGCCTATTCCCGTTGCCTGACCGCACAAAGCCATTTGGCCATTTTGGGAACAAGCCCTAACCAACACGCGGGCCCGCACCCACACCCACAGCCACAGCCCACAACCCATGCTGGGCCAAAGTAGTTGGCCGCACAATACTTTGCTGTCAATTTGTGATAACAGCAGCTTTATTTGAAAATATGTGCGACTTTATTTGCCGGCTGCGACAAGCCGATTTTTGCGGCCAGTCTCCACTGACAGCTGCTGCAGGCTATCACAATTGTGGTCAAAATAAAAGGACTGGATTTGTTATTATAGACCCCTTTTATGATAATTTAAGTATTAATGTATAGTCTTAAATATTACTTTTACTTTAAGGCTAGCGACAAATCTTCGACGAACTAAAAATGTTTTATCTCCGCGCCGAGATTGACGGAGATATGTAATTTTAATGCCTAAATAGTACAAGAATAACGTGACTTCTTAATTCAAGAAATATTAAACCAATGATACAATACTTTCAGAAATATGTTTTAAACTAAAATATAAGGAAGCGATCCCTTTAGCCACCTACATTATTTTCCTGGAACATAATCGCCTCAATATAAACATTTGGTTGATATTTAAGTTCGATGCTAATATCATGACAACCACTGTGCACTGTGGGTTGTTTGGTAGGTATGCTGATGGAACGTGTGAAATTGAATATTTAGAAAGGGTCCCCCTTTCAGGTGGAAAGCCAGTTAGGCGGCAATGAATAGTTGGGCTTAAAGCGATTTGCGGAAACCGAGAGCGATGAAAGGAAGGCGACCAGCGAGGGGCCTTCTGCCTCCTCGCATTTCAGACCCAACCGCATTGCCGACCCGAGTTCATTTTCTGCATTATTATTATTTTTATGGCCAGCAGCAGTGGCAGGACTGTGGCCCCGAAGGTCTCAGCTAATTAAATTCCACACATTCGGTGTACAACTACGGGGAGCGTATGGTGTCTGTGTGTTTGCATACGGACGACTATATTTAAATTGGCTCTACCCGGCCATATCGCTGTCAGAAAGCGTGGAGTCAGGGGGCCGGGGAGTGCACATTTTTAATTACGCTGCACATTTGCATTTGAATTGCGCATTTTACAGGCTGATAAGCCGAAATAAAGGCAACAGTTGTGCAGGGCCAAAGCCAAAGATATGTTGGCTTTGGCTTCGGCCACGCCCCAACCGCCCCCAGCCTCGTACGAGCCACATTTTTTTTGCTGATTTCCAGAATGTGTAATTTTCAAGTTGACAACTTTTGTCCCAAAGCAGTGACCTCGTTACACAAACACAAGTGCAAGCCCGGACCGCCATAGCTGGGTAAATACATATAAGCACTATATAGTATGCCATAGTAGTATATTGCATTAGAGCCCGGCTCCTTCAAAAAGCATCGGCCCGCAGGCATAACCCCAGTGAGCCGCACAAAGCAGGGCTTGGCGAGAGCACGGGGAGTGCATTTCAATGCAGAGCAAAAAGAGAAAGTTGGAGAACAAAAGGCAAATGGCGCTTTTAAATTTCACTGCCTCTGCTTCGATTCCGGGCGCTAATGGAACCCGTTCTCCTTTATGCCGCCTGCAGCGTCCGCAGGGTTTCATCGTCCTTTCTATTTTCCGCCATCATCTTCAGCGGGTTATTCCCTCTATTACTCGATGTGCTTCATGAACTCGGCGGAATCTATTTGGTACTTCTATCCGGATTGACTCTGAAAAGTGCAAGAACCCTCAGAGCGCTATCCCTTACCTGTAACTGAACCATTCCGTGGTCTTTCTCTGGGATAATGATTTATTCTCCTTCCTCTATGCCGCCTCCATCTTCAGTATGCTTCATGAACTCAGCAGACTCTTTTTGGTCCTTCTATCCGGGTTGACCTTAGAGTGCTATCCATTACCTGTAAGCGAACCATTCCGTGGTCTCTCTCCGCTTTAATGGCTAGGGTCCTGCCATCCTATTTCCGGTTTTGCCACCGAAAACGTGCTGGCAAGGCCCGCCATTTAAGCCATTTTTAATGACAGGCTGACGCCTGGCGCCTGACAACGGCTAATGATGGCGGCTAGCCAAAGTTTTGCGGCTTTTGCGGATTAAAATTGAAAACGCCTGCATTCATTAAATCTGCGAAAGGCAAAAACCTAACTAGAACGTGACATGGGGCAGGTGTCGCATTAATTAGTGTAGGAACTCACACACACACATACGTGCATGCGAAATGAGGATTTCCTAAGGCAGGTGGTTTAATTTTCCTAAGATGTGTCAGCCGCAATTGGGTCAAAAAGACTTCGGGTTAAGTTATTGCAGAATGCAACTCCTCCTCCCCCACATCAAGAGCACCGAAAGAGGACGAGTGGGCACTGAGGACACGTGCTTATTTGCACAGAGCCCGAGGCTGGCAAACTAACTCCTTTGATAGTTTGCAATGGCACAATAATTAACTTATTGGATTATCGGACAAACGGGTGTATGTAGTATAAGCCAAGGCTGCAAAAGCATGCCCGGCGGCCGTAACCCCATGATCCCCGCTAAACGGTGGCCTTTGTCAGCTTCATAAATAAATATGCATGGCTCGGCGCCTGGACCACACCCACCTGCAGGCCATGTGCATGCGAAAAGGTCGCTCGGCGCCCTCGAGCTCGTTTATAAGCATTCATCATTCATTTGGCAGCGTGTCTGGGCCCCGGGCAAGAATCTCACAAATGCTTTGCGACCCCCATTGTTCCATCCTCATCCCCATGTCCACCGCATCCCTAGCCCCATCGCCAGCTCCGACCCAGGCACCACCGTGTGGCTGATGTGGCTGATGTGTCTGTTACCTTAGGCCAACCATAAGGCGGTGCACAGTGGTCAAGATCTAGAATTCAATTCATCGAAACTTAAACTGGAGCAAATTCTTTAGCCGTTGGATGAAAGTATTTAATCTTTTGCGTGGTATATCTTTGAAAAAGATAGTATAAGAAGCGTATACAAAGCTTTACAAAGTTTTAGGGACAGACTTTAGAGTTAGATCCCCGCTCTCTTGAAATTTTATTTAAAAACCCTGGTGAGCTCTCATGTACTTTAAGGTATTCTAGATCTGTATGCACACAAACGCACTTGCTTGAAGTGTTTTTAGTCATTTTATACTTTTAGTTTTTTACGCTCTCAAAAAAAAAACACATTTTCCTAAATATGAGTATGAAGCACCAACAACTTATCGCTGGTAACGGCTCTATACTTTTAGACAAATCGTTTATTAATCCATGAAATTTGAGGTCTCGCCCACTGTGCGTTGGAACGCAACTTAGAGCTCTGGTATCCAAGATGAGCAGCTGATGGCCGTGACTGCGCCTTTGTGCCGGGCGAGTCTTGAAGTGGCATCCGAGAGTTGAACACACAAATTAATCTTCATCTACCGCACACACCCACCGACCACCGACCACCGACTACAGACTTTGGCCCGGGCGGCTCAAGTTTGGCATTTAGAAACGCCCGAAATAGTTTCAAAGCAGTACGAGGAAAAAACAAAAGGCTTTGCTCTGTATATCAAAATGAGTAAAAATCGTTCATGAATCGTAGGTTTCTGAGTTTGCTTTCAAGAACTTTCCATTTCATCAACAAATTCACGCCTGATTAGGACAAACACAAATCAAAATCATCATTATCAATAAATCTGATTTTATTAGGCCTTCCATGTATATTATTTCTGCTAATTTTTGGCACAGCTCGATTCCCATTGTGCTAAGTGTAAGCCAACGGCGGACTTTATTTTAGTGACTCCTCGACGACTGGGACCGAGCTAACAGTTCGTTGGTCACGGGCTTTGGGGACCTTTGTGCAGGACCTCCGGTGCCTCGGTCAACAACCGCAGGGGCAAACAAATCTCGTCCTGCGCGCCACCGTTGCCCCAAAGGGTGTTTGTATTTGCCGAGTGCTGGTCACTCCTTTCCACACTTTGCTTAATTACTGCCAGCAATTATGAGACGGTCCCTTTGGCCGGTGGTCTAGTGGTAACACTCTCTCTCTTTCGAACACTGCAGTTTTCGAGTGAACAAAATATTGCGGCTAATACCCAAATATGTATGTGGATGGCCGGAGTGATCAGTCAAGTTTTTGTTTACACTCTGGCGGCTGGCCTCAGTGCTCGTAACTGGGCGCTTGGCAACACTTTAAAGCCCCTGCAAATGGACGGGCTAATTCCGTTACAAAATGCACAAATTGTGTAATTTTCAAGTTAACAGCTCTTGACCTGGTTCGGCGTACTCCCAACCCTTTCCCGCCCAGGCTTCCTCTTCCGGCTGCGCTCTCCTGTTGATTTGGTTCGCGGAATTTTGTTTGCTTTGCAGCAGGGCGCAAATATGCAAAAGCGCAATTGTGTGTTAACTTGGCTTTGTTGGCGCGTGTATGAAGCGGGGGGCGTGCATACTTTTAGGCTCAGAGGTAGTAGCAACATTTTATGCGACTGCCACAAGTTTGTTGGCGAAAGTTTAAGCCCGTAAAACTTTTAATACAGCGCCTACCGATTGTGCCAGGCCAGGCCCACGGTACAGTAACAAGCTTTTAGCGAATACACACATTAAGCCTTTTATTTTTCGGTCTCTCCTCCGTGAAAGGGCTCGAAAGGGGCCCAAAGTTCTACACACACCTCAGGAGCTCCCGTTGTTGTGTCGTTGTTTAACTAACAACAATTCCTGGGAAGCGACTGGCGGGGTGAGCGAGTGCAGCCCCAGAACAAATGAGGAAAATATGCTTCAATAACAAAACACTCAACACTT